AAAACACATAATACAAGAATATTATTTTAGACCTAATTCACCAAATTAATATTTAGTCATGCTACCATGATGTAAGTACCATATGTCCATATTCATATACCTAGTGACTTAAATTTAAAATATTTTAATTACAATTCACATTTCATAGTAAATTATATTCTTAAAATATCAAATAAACTTCAAAATAAATTAGGATTTGACCTTATTATCTGCCAACTAGCATATAAATATAGGTATTTACTAACTTTTTGGTTCCACATTTCTTTTTATTGTATGTACCAAGTACTTATATTTAACTTAAGAGATTTAGTAAACAAAATTATATTAACTAAATTATTTAATCTTTAAAAAGTTTAAGTAAACATAGGTATTAGGGTATCTGCTTTTTTCAAAAATGTTTAATTTTTAAATAGAAATAAATAGAAAACTATACTTAATACTTATATAGTTATATACTATTTCATTGTACCTAAATTTGCAATATTATTATATTACAATAAATTGATTTAAGTCATTTTTAATACCTTAATACTAAATAAATATGAATAAAATTATAGTTTATATTTTAAATTTTTATAATTATACTGTATTGTATTGAAGATCCATTCTATAAATAGCAAGTACTACTAAAAAATTAATATTTGAGTTACTAAAACTACCTATATAAATATTAAATGGCAATAAGCCAATAATTTGATTTTACTTCATTGTTTGCATATCAAAATGGATAATACCTACTTAATTAAGTATCTTTAATTGTGGTTATAACTAAAAATAAAGCCTTATTTTTTTTTATACTATGTGTATAATACCTCGTATAAATGTATAATACAGTTTTATACCACTGTAGAATACAAACTCACATCTCTATTTATTTGGGAGGATGATGCAGACATGGAACATAATATACATATCAGATACTTATAGTAACAATTTTTTTATGTAGGTAGCTTAGATTAAGAATAGAAATTTAGCTCACTTTCATTCCGCTTTCCTCGAAAAGCAAGACTTTGTTTTGCTAAAAATAAAATTACGTAAATTATTCTTTTGACTACTTCACGATTTTTTGCCACATTTGTACGCCGCCGCTCGGTATTTAATAAATCTCGAATACCAGTTTTGGACGATGCTTGTATGTAAGTTTATACTGAAATACACATTACACATTTTTATTTCTACAAAATTCTCCTTTGACCCATGCACTTGATTGATCCATAGAAAATGCCATGCATAGGTATACAACAGTAAAAACAGTTTGTACTACCACTATTATGTTTGTATGATTATGTTTTTTTTTTGGCTTCCATATCAAATTTGAAACAAAACTTATCAAAAAAAATTATATTAGTTATTATGTTTTGGCTATTTTAACCTTAAATAAAATTAAGTTAAGTTAAATTAAGTTAATTAAATTAAATTAAGTATAATAATGGCCAATATAAAACAGTTTTTTTTCATAAGTTTTAAATATTTTTGAAAACCCGTTACAATCACTACAATCATAATAGTAGATCCGAGTAGATCACATATTTTAGAAAAAATAATTTGATTTAATATTTCATAAAATTTTTTTTAGTTTTTTTTTTATATGGTACTATGGTAGTGTATTTAAGTATCCATAAAACATATCAGTTATTCAGTTATCAGTCAGTTTCAAAAAACGATCAAATAGTTGAAGTCAACAAAATTATTAAAAATGTAAATGGCAAATACATCACTCCATTAAATTGTTGTATTATGTATCAAAATTCCATTTCATTTGTTTAATTAGATTGTTTTATATTAACAACAATAATTTATTATAATTATTTTAAATTAACTGACTTGCACTGTTTAAAAAATAAGTGTCTATAATTTACATATACCAACAGGTAGCAAATTCATTGCTACAGCTCTGCTTTATGAAATATACAAAAATATATACCTACCCTATTTCTATTATATAAGTTATAAGTTATAATAGGTAACTTACTATTCTTATGTTTACCTTAAGTTGTTAACCAATTAATAATGAATTTGTTTTCTTTATAATATATTATTTATAGCTAATAAATAATAATTAATAATTATTAATTTCTGTACCAAATTAAAACTTTGATAATATTAATAAATAATTCAGTTTTGACAAAAATTGAAATTAATACTTATTTTGGTTATGTATGAACCTGCATAATTTTAGTTTAATAACCAAATATATTACATAACAAACTGACAAATAAAGTTGTTTGGATTAATTGGTAATAATTATTAGTACCTATGTAGGTACACTAGGTCGGTGGCCAGTAGGTACGTTTTATAGACAGTATGTTTATAAATTTGTAGGTACTTTATATAAGTATATAACAAACTATTAACTACAAAGTATATAAATCATATTAAGGGTATAGTATAATAGTCTATATAATATATGCAATCTATTTGGACATTTGCTTTCCGATTAACTAGCTAACTTCTATAGTACAATTTGAATGAAATCAATGACCTCACCTGTGGGTAAGTTGACAATTAAGAGGCCATTTCATTGTAATTTGTTTTTGCATTTTAAGATTCATAACTTAAATTATGTTTTTTTTAATACTATGGGTAGTAACGTAACGAAAGTAAAGCGTTACTGTAACGGCGTTACTTTGCTTGTAACGCGCGTTACGTTAATTTCATTCACAACCTAACCTAACCATGGTTTGCAGGGCGGCGCTACGGCGTGTTCCTTTTCCTTGTCTTGTACACTGAAGTTTCTGTATACCTCGATGTTTTGGATTTTCTGGACACTTCGGATTTTCTTCTTCAGATTTTCTTCTTGTATTTAATTATATTGTAAGCATAGATCTAGACACGCGGTAGCGTGTTAAGCCAAGTTCTAGCTAACATAACTGGCGAACAGCACCGTGTGTAATATTACACGAACCATCTGGAGCCACTTTTGACCCCCTCATAACTCAAAATATATTCCACATAAACATGTCAAATTTGGCTCATATATTTAGACTAACGAGATACATATGTGCTCCAAATTTAATCAAATTGTCAAAATCGTCATTTTTATCACTCACTGACTGATTGACCTATAGATAAAAATTCTAACCAAGTTCCAGATGACCTAGAAACTTCAAATTTGGCATACAGATAGGTAGTTAGGTTAGTACAAAGGAAAAAATCAGAAACTTGAAAAAATTAAATTTTAAATTTTTTAATCAATTGATTTTATTATAATTTTTCAATTATTTAATCTATTATATTTAATTTTTCAATTAATTAATTAAGTGCCTCTAATTTAATGTAATGTTGACTTAAATAGCTCCGCTGACCTTTCCCGTATCGCTGCTCCAAAAATACGTCCAGTCGAATATGTGTCGATATTGGCGACCCGCGAGCAGCAACATACATTTTTTTCTATGTATGTAATTAATATCACTTTTTAAAAAAAATTACAATTAAAATAATTAAATAATTTATATTACGATTATGAATTGCCCACTCACCAGTAGAAATTATAGTAAATAAAATTATGATAATTAAAAATATACTCAAAAAGAGATAAAATAATTTTATATTTTATACTCTATATACAACAGAAAATATTTTATAATAAATATTATTAATGTTAGTAACTGAATTATAGTATATAGTAATACATTTTATTAATAGAATACGTCATGGCTAGGTGAGGTTAGGTTATAATAATTTACATACAAAAAGTAATGATATGCCATCAAAAACATATTTGTAAAATGAGAGCCAAGTTCAATAGGTACTATAATATATGCCTTGATTGTTGACTTCAACGAAAAAAGAAGTGAGATCCAAATGGGTGCCAAGTTAGAATAATATATTGAAGCCTAAGATCTAACTTTGCTACGAATTATATTATAGCATTTGCAAGTTCTAAAGCCTTGAGTTCTTATTTTATTCTTCAGAAAATCATCTTCCCTCTGCCATTACTGTTTTAGTAGGTACTTAATAATAATTCGTAATATGAAAACTAGCCAAGTCAGACTTTAGGCTTCAATATATTATCAGCTCAAAATAAGTCAAAAAATTTTGAAAATGTTATGGTATATAGAAAATGAAAATTTAAACATTCGGTGAAATTTAAATGTAATTACAGTTATTCGTTTTTGAATTACAACAAAATAACAAAATCACTACATGAGAAATCGAGTAGATGTAAAAATATAAGCTTCGAACGCTCATAATAATTTAATTTTATTTGCTAGTAGACTTTTTTTTTTTTGATCATGGTAGACAAATTTATGATGAGGAATCTTGTGTTACATTTTCAAAATATAGATTTAAATAGAAAAATGTTTATGAATTTCTAACTCTATATAATTTTCACATTTTCGTGAATTTTACGTATGATCTCAATATTTGAACTTTGAATGATTGAAAACAAAAATTGTGAGTATGGATTTTTAATACTTTTCATCTGTTTGAAACAATATATTAGGAGCCTTTTAACAAATTTTCAAGATTTTTTACGCAAAAAATAAAATTTTATTGAATATTATTGTAAAAAAAAAAAACAAAAAAAAGCTGGTAAGTGGATGTCGCTCTTCTGTACAGTAGGTTACAAGATGGTCATTGTCAGTGTTGAATCCAGGTATACTTCAGGGGGGGCAAATGCCCCCCTGAAATTTTTTTCGCCCCCCCTGACAAATACAACGTTCTGACCTTCAACAAAATGTACCTATTTATTAAATGCACAATACTCGTTACGATTACCGCACCTAATGGCGTTCAATAAAATATAATTTATTTATATCAATGTTTTTGTACCGTATTGCCAACATAGGACTAGCTATCTCCTGACTTTCCCAAAATTATAGCAGTTATAAGATAACGAAAAATAATTATCACGAATTACAATTTATGATGACGGCTAGATTACGATATAATCTAAAACTACGTACCTACTATTGTCACGGTCCGTGGAGACTAAAATAATAAGTTTAATCAGTTTTACCTAGTGGTTTGTACGTGTATGTTGTTCCGTAACAAAAATGTCCAAAAGAAAAATAACAGATTTTTTTTCACAAAATAAAATAACTAAAACTTCAGAGCCCCAAGATTCTCATCATGACACGATTGACACAGATTTAGATGAATTACCTACGCCTACCTATACAAAAAAAGGTAAAGAAAAAAGATTTTACAATAAAAAATGGGAAAATGATTTTCCATGGCTTTTTTTTGATGTTCAACGTAATGGTGCTTTTTGCAAATTATGTGAAAAACATGCTGTAAATGATTCCGTACTATTGACAAGCACAGGGGGAGTTTTTATTAAAACACCATTTAACAATTTTAAAAAAGCACTGGGAAAATATGGTAAATTAAATAAATATAACGATTCTGCATCACATATTCGCAGTATAGAACAAGAAAGACTGACTTTAGTATTCTCGAAAAATCCTGTTTATTGCCAAATTTTAAATCAAAGTTCCGAAGAATGTAAAATCAATAGAAAACATTTCTCTCTTTTATTTCGCTCAATTTATTTTTTGGCTAAAGAAGAAATAGCACACACAACGAAATATGAACCTTTAATTAAGCGTTTAATTATGAAAAGTAGTGAATCATTTGAAAGTTGGATCGTCACAAATAGTGATAGATCTACATATATTAGCAAAGCTACAGCTAGTGAGCTTTTATGTTGTGCATCGGAAATATTATGCAAGAAATTAAATAATGAAGTTATTGGAAAAAAATTTTCTTTAATGGCCGATGAAAGCACAAATGTTAACAATAAATCTGAATTATCTATATGCATTCGTTTTGTTAAAAATAATCAACCAGTTGAACAATTTATTGGTATTAGAGATTTATCTGATACTAAAGCCCATACAATCGTAAACGAAATAAGTTCTGAATTAACAAAACACAATCTGTCCTACCAAAATATTATTGCATGTGGTTTTGATGGGGCTGCAAACATGTCGGGAAATAAAAGTGGAGTTCGTAGACTTATTAGTGAAAAAGCTGGAAGGGAAGTTCCTTATATACATTGTCGAGCACATGCATTATCACTTGCACTAACTAGGTAGTATGCGTAATAAATTTCCAAAAATTAAACGCGTTTTTAATGTCTTAAAAGATATTTACAAATTATTTCACCAATCGCCCAAACGTGAGGAAATGCTTCACAGAGTGCAAACCATAATTAATGATCCTATTTTAAAAATACCAGAGGCTATAGAAATCCGTTGGTTAAGCCACTACAAAATTGTTCATGCAATCAAACAATCGTATATTGCTATCGCTACAACTTGTGAACATATACATCAAGATGGTGTTGATTTAGCCTCATTAGCAGGTGGGATTTTGTTAAGTCTCCGCGAAGAAAGTTTTATTATATTGTTGTGTGGATTGGACGAAATACTAGGCGCCGTTTCTAATTTAAGTTTAAGGGGCCTGGTCGCGATTTTTCAAATTTTCCGCAATTCTATAAAATTTGAAAATTAAATTTTATATTTTAGTTGCCACCTCAATTATAATACTTTTCCACTAATCTACTACCCAATACCTATTCAGGGGGGGGGGGTTGATAGGGTGTATTATATCGGTCAAAACACAGTTTACAGGAAAAACTCTCACACCTCGTAGATTGGTCCGATTTCCGTAATTTTTTTTTTGTTAGATAGAAGAATATTTTTTACAGGGCGCATTGGACTTTGATTTTTGATTACGTTGCTAAAAATAAATAATAATACAAAAACTAAAAAGTTGTAAAAATGGATTAAATTCAAACTTGTAATATAAGATTTCGAAAAATAATTTTGAAAATCCAAGTCCAATGCGCCCTGCAATACGTCTTTCTCTATTTAACTAAAAAAAAATTACGGAAATCGGACCAATCTACAAGGCGTGAGAGTTTTTCCTGTAAGGCATGTTTTTGAGCAAAAAAACCAGGCCCCTTAACATTACAATCTCCCAATTTATGTATTTCGGTTTTACCTACTATAATTAAAAGTACGAAAGATCATTTAAATAAAATTGCAGAAAGTTTAAAACAAGATGTCTATAATAGCACTATTATTAAAAATGCTACCGAAATTTCAAAGAGACTTAATTCATTAAAAAAGATGATGGCATTAAAAATACATTAAAGTATATTTTATCATTTTTAGAACAAGTAATAAAAGAGATGTATCGTCGATTTAATGATACAGCAGTTAAGCTCATAGGAGGGTGTTCAATATTTGAAAATTATAGTACGTTATCAGATGCATCAGAATAATTGATTGAACAATTGTGTGACTGTTTATCTATATCTGAATATGATAAAGAATTTATAATATTAGATTTCAAGTCTTTTAAATTTGTAGCTTTAAATAAAAAAGAGATTGGTGGAAACCCCATATCTGATCTTATTGAAGTTAATATGGGTTACCAACATTTAAGAAAATTAGCAGAATCAGTTTTATGCATACCAATTGCCACTGCTACAGTTGAACGATCATTTAGTGCAATGAATCGAATTATGTTAAAACTTCGAAATAGGATGGGACAAGACACATTGGAATATTGTATGAAAATAAGTATTGAAGGCGAAGAAGACCCACCTCAGGAGTTCATTGAAGAAACAATTGATTTATATGCAAGAAAAAAAACTCGTCGAATAAAATTAATTTAAAAATAAATAATTACCTAATAGGTTTCTAATTTATTTTGTAAATTTTTCAATATTTATAATTTCTGAATTGTAATAAATTATAATAATACAATTTATAATATGTGACGACCTTAAATTAACCTTGGATTGATTTAAAAATTTAAAAATTAATAATTTGTTTTATAACTTTTTGAATATTTATAATTTCTGAATTGCAATAAATAATAATAATAGATAATACGATTTATAATGTGTGACAACCTTAGATTGATTTAAAAATTAAAATAAAATAATTTGTTTTTAATTTGTTTGTAGTTTTATCTAAACTTGTAATGTCTAAATTATAAATTAAAATAAGAATAACTACCTATTAATAGATATAATTCATAATACTAAAATGACGTATCACCCTTCACCAATGAAAAAAAAGTGAGCCCCCCCCCAGAAAAATTTTCTGGATTCAACACTGGTCATTGTATAATGGATTGTATTAAACTTGAATTCAATGATATAATATCATTGTATAAGATAAACGATTCTGAGCGGAGACAGTTTGTCAGTCTGGATATTTTATATGGTTATTAGTTATTATATCATGTAAGTTGAATTGATATTATAAAATTATTATTTTTTATTCGTTTCTATGGTAATAAACAAAGCGTTGGAAATTAAAATAAAATTTTTAGAGGTTTTTTGTAATTTTCGGTTGTTTTTACCGTGACATAAAAAAACTATTGATAAAATCGAAAAATTACCTCTCTAAAGTACCATCTTGATCCAATTTTCTAAAAGATAAGGTACTATATGTTGAAATCAAAGAACTGCTTCTGGTAGACATTTTGTATACAGGTTATAAAAAAATAAAATAAAAAAATAAACACCATTGTAAAACCACTAGCTTCCTCACTCCGCTCAGAATCTAAAATTGGAAACTGAAATAATGTCTGTAAACAGCTGAAAATAAGTCAAAATGTTTTGAAAATGTTATGGTGTATAGAAAAGTAGAGTCAAACCAAAAACTTGATTTTGTGTGAAAATTCCCGATTTTAATTAATATTTCTTTGTTTTTCACGAAGATTTAGAAAACTACTTCTAAAAATAATATCTCTATATTTATTATTAAAAAGTGATTTTCCTTCAAATCCGAACCCAAATAATAAACATTTGTTTATCATATTTTAACTAGAATTTTTGTTGGTTCAAAAATGATGGTTTGAGTTGGCTTGACAAAAGGAAGTTGAATTTATTTGAAAGTCGTTTTACTTCTTATAATAAGTACGAACTTTGTGAAATTCTTAAGTCTTAATTGTTATTTAATACCTAGATACTGAATTCTAACCAAATTCCGAAATCAAAATTTTAGCAAACATAAATACATAATTTAAACCATCTAGTAGTTGTTGGCTGTCATTCTGTAAAATTACTTCTGCGATTGAACATTGAGATGCATCAACTGACATTGTTAAGGTACCACTGTCCTTCAACGTGTGTGTGTGTGTGTGTGTGTGTGTGTGTGTGTGTGTATGTGTGTGTGCATCGAGAGCTAGGATGCCATATATATTGTTTTTGTAACGACCACACATAGCTATTCTCTTGTCAGACATCCATTGTTATTATATTTTAAGTTTGTCATTTTGTGTCAATATATTTTGTCAATAATTATTTAAAAACAAAAAAAAAGGGGGGCATGTTATGATGGTACCACTGTCATTCAACGTTTGTGTGTGTGTGTGCGTGTAGGTGCGCCTCGACAGCTAAGACGCCATATAGATAGTTTTTGTAACGACTATACATAGGTAGCTGTTCTCATGTCAGACATCAGACGTAATATTATTTCAGAAAGGTTATTCAAAAGCGTTGATCTATTATATTTTTAAAAGTCATACAGAATTGGAACAGAATCGACATTTTTAAAGAAGAGGATGTAAGTACCTTAATAATATTTAGACAATACTAACTTTCTTTCTTCTACTCACCAATCAGTTACGTGTGTGAAGTTGGGGGACTATAGCTAGGGTACTATTTTCTCGGACGATTAGTGATAACAGGTCTTGTGTGCACGGTTGCGTTTTATTATATTTAGGGCACTCGCCAAATGTACTACCATCAACCCAAAATGGCGCCATGAAATTCATTATTTTGTAATATATTACATAGTAATATGCAACCGAACAGCTCAGGGGACAATTTTTTCGTCTTATAGAGAATTTTCCTGGCTTTCCGAATATATAGGTTTAATGCGGCGCCACCTTCCGGAACTTGGTCAAAAAAATTAAAAACGGCACATCCGCCCGTACCTAGGCAGTACGAAAAAATAGTCCCCTGGGCTGTTCGGTCGCATATTACTATGTCCCCAAAAGCTTTGAACATTTTTAAAGTATAAACGTCTTATAGAGAATTTTCCTGGCTTTCCGAATATATAGGTTTAATGCGGCGCCACCTTCCAGAACTTGGTCAAAAAAATTAAAAACGGCACACCCGCCCGTACCTAGGCAGTCCGAAAAAATAGTCCCCTGGGCTGTTCGGTCGCATATTACTATGTAATATATTACACAATAATGAATTTCATGGCGCCATCTTGTGGTTGATGGTAGTACATTTGGCGAGTGCCCTAAATATAATAAAACGCAACCGTGAACACAAGGCCTGTTATCACTAATCGTCCGAGAAAATAGTCCCTTAGCTATAGTCCCCCAACTTCACACCCGTAATCAGTTTGACATTATGTCAGTTTAATTTCAAATCAGAAATAATCATGTCAAGTCGTTTGTCAAGTAAAAAGTTTACAAGGTCCAATGATATATTTTTAATAAATAATTGGATCTACTATTCGAATGCCACCCTTTAAATTATTATTCAGTGAGTAATGAAGAATGTTTATGAATATACGTGTGTATTTCAGGAATTGTTTAAAATCAGTTATTTTATTATGGACCGGCATCATAGCTTTCAATGCATCGGTGACCGCTTACGAGATTGATGGTAAGGACATACGTGAAATATATGTATACTATTGTGGAGGATTGCTTAAAAGTATGGATATATACTTTGTTGATATTCGTAATGAGGAGAACCAGGAACTCTTTGATATTGTCTACAAGACTCCCGATGGTAAGTGAAAATTGAAGTGTAAAACTATAAAAACTACATTATACACATACTATATTGATTGTTATAATATAATTGAGTATTTATTAGCTACTGTTGGACCACTAAGACATTTAATATTACCTTTTGATCAATCGAAGTGTAATGAAGGAATGAAGCATAAATTTCAAAAAATCGAATTGCCCGTAAAGGTATACCTAATTAATATTTATAATATTAGTAAAATTCAATATTATTGCTTTTAATTTTAAACTTGTTAATATTTTTTTTCACATAGTTAGAACTTTTCCACTCAGAATTAAATGTATTTTTTTTACTAAGACA